TCTAGCTAGCAATGACAGTGGGTTTCTGACCATTCTGATGAAGGGGTGTGACAATGATATGAGTAGTTGGTGGTTGATCATTATTACAAGTGTGAGCTGTCAATTATCAAAGGACATTAGGCTTTAACATTCATTCTTGAAATAAACGGGCCCCTAAAGTCAGTCCTACTATGATGATCGTTTAGGAAGACAAAGTTCGTATTTTTGGTTGATGGACCCGTGAAGTCGTCACTGAAATAAACAAATCAGGTGAAGGTATTGAGAAGCATCAATTTTTTCATTTTGTCTCTTCGACTAGTTAATAGGAACTAGGCTTCTTTCCGTTTTAAGCTAATCCAGATAGTACCTGATAGGGCAAAAGCGTATAGCTTTAATTCCTATCTTGTAGTAAACCGGAAAGTCCGGGTATCGTCTCTCAGGGACTGGTACAACCTTATATTCTATCGATTTTATAGAGCAAACCATATGCGAGATTGATTTTGAGTGATGAAACTATTATCTAAATGCAAAACAAATGAAATATAAAATGCTAAAGCAAACGTTGGGTTGAAATCAATGGGAGAAAGCTCTGGGAGAAACACCAGAATTCACTATCTATCATATCCAAATTAATTCACATATTCGAATAAGTTTAATCCAATTCTCTACAGCCAAGATATCACTAATGTGCTAGTTATCCCTGTCGGGAATTACTACGTACTAAACAACTAAATCAAATCCTACTGTCGTAGCTCAATGAGTTAATTATTTAGCATGAAGACCGATATCCCAATCAAAACCGCATAGCACCTTATTTAATCCACTTTCATTTCGATAAGTTGCTATGTCACATGAAATATGTTCAGTTATTAGGGTTTCACTGTCGGTAATAACCTAATTAACTACAAATCAATGTATTGGTGGCCAGTCAACACAAAGCATTAAGCAATTCCATGCAATAGGGACTGGAAGAAAAGAAATATGAATCATTTATCAAGTCTAGGAATAGCTACATCCTGTGGTGTTTCCTCGAGAAATTGAGGTTTAGTTCATGATGAAATCAAAAGATATAACCATGTTCTTGTTCATCATGATATGATATTAGGAAGAGAGAAAGAAATACTGATAGTAGTCAAAGAACACGCAGATATTCCCTTCTCTAATCCCGCTGCCGCTTTTCCACGCTATCCTCGTTAGCTCGCTAGTCGCCTGCGCTGCTGCTTCTCTCCAAAAGAAGCATCCTTCAGCTCAATTCCCCCTCCCCATGTTTGCTGCTGGCCTTAATTAATTCCGGACACAAAGAAATCCGCTCCAAGTCCAACTCCAACTCCCTCCAAACACTACGTTTGCTCTCCAATTCCCTTCTGCCAATGCTCCTCCCTCCAGGACAAAGAAGTTGGTCCATTTTAATCTAATAATTTCCCCCAAAGTGTCCCTTTTGACCGCCACCAGAAGGAGACAAACGAGTTGGCCCTTTTGATCCCATAATTCCACCATGCTGCTGTTACCTTTTGCTAGGCAAAGGAAACTAGTTCAAGCCGGTTTGGGATTGGTGATCGGCCGGACCACTTGTGGTATCTTGCTTGTGCATCAATCATTTCTTGTTTATCCACCTAACATATATCAAAATTCTAACACAAGGTAGTAATGGCTTAGCAACCATTCCATAATCAATTGGCTCTAAAACAAACATTATACGTCTCAAGCATTTCATGTAATAATCACATTAAGCACACAAAATCAATATGTTTTCGACAATTATCAGTACCATATCCTAAACTCTAAAAGTAGATTCAATCACATGCACACAAAAAAAAGAGTATGAGTATCGCACCTTTTGTTGCCGGAGGGAGAAATATAATCAATTATAAAGTTCTTATTGAATTGAAGCAGAGAGTCTTCTGGTTTCAAGGCCATCGGGAATCTATTCATATAGCCAAAGAAATCCTCCGATCAAAGCCATAATTAACCAAAACCTATTACCGCTTGGACAAGGACCGAAACAGAAATACCAAAGCTAAATTCAAACTGAAATCCTAAAGCATGCCACTGGTGCACGAATTAAGGTGCCATATACTACCAAGAGAAGGAAATGGATTAACCGGAATACGGTTGGGCGACGGGAAGGTAAGAGCTTCGATATTTGACCGCCGGAATTATATCCGCTGGGAAGGGCGGAAGTTCGCGAGGCGCGAATTATATTTCCTTTCTCCATTGGTGCACAAATTCAATATTACATATATTCATATATAATTAATATATATTCCTATATAAAAGCCTAACATTTTCATATATAAAGGCCTAATATGGGAGTTATTATTTATTAGTAGCTCTCACACTCCTCCAAGTGCAAGTGTGGAAGTTCCAAATCCTTCTTTTACCTCACTCTCCATTCTACAACCTCTGTGTTTAGTTATTGTTCTCTAGGTTTTCGTCTATGGTTTTTTGCACAAATCATTGCCTTCGTGTTTTGTTATTGTTGGATAGGTTTTCGTCTATGACTTTTTGTACAAATCATCACCTTTGTGTTTATTTATTGTTCGCTAGGTTTTCGTGTATTGCTTTTTGCAAAAATCATCGCCTTTGCCCACCATTTTGCAGCCCATCTCGAAATACTGTCGGCGGAATACTAAGTTGTTCCACAACACTGTTTCCCAAGGCTGCTACCACGAGTTTTGTATTAAGACCGAGTTTCATCCTCTTTAGTGTTTTTTTTTCTTCTTTCTTTCTTTCCTTTTTGTTGAGCATGATCACAATTGAACCCAAACACACATGGGTATCCTAACATAACATGAACACGAATCATCGCCTATGCCCATCATTCTGCAGCCCATTTCGAAACACTGTCGGTGGAATCCTAAATTGTTCCCCACCATTGTTTCCTAAGGCCGCTACCACGAGTTTTGTATCGGGACCGAGTTTCATCCTTTTTAGTGTTTTTCTTTTTCTTTTCCTTTTTGTTGAGCATGATCACAATTGCATCCAATATCTCTACCAAAAATCCATACCATTTACTCAATATTGGCGAGTTTTGTATCGGGACCGAGTTTCGTTCGCTTTAATGTTTTTTTTCTTTCACTCTTTCCTTTTTGTTGGGGTCATGAGCGAGTTTTATCCGCTTTAGTATTTTTTTAACTTTTCCCTTTTGATTGAGAATGACAATTGATTCCAAACGCATGGTACAAGAAAATTTGGCTTTAGAGACAAATATTGTATCAGTCTCTGTATGTAATCTACAGATGCAAATATATTATTTGCCTCTCTATCTCATATTATTTGTCTCTATTTCATAAATAGTAATTTTTGTATTTATATATAAAATTGAAAATAATAGTTTTAGGAGCAAATATAAATTTATCCTAGAATTATATCATTTAGAAGCAAATCTAACAATTTTTAGAGACAAAAACAAATTCGACCCTACCAAAGCGACTTGAACCCTATTTTACAAGTTTTCGGCAGGAGCGAGTTTTATCTGTTTTTGTAATTGGCGTGTTGTGTCAGTGTGAATTTGTCCAAAACTCGGTCCAACCAGGTCAAAGCGAGTTGAACTTGGTGTTGACGAGTTTTGAGTCGGTGGCGAGTTTTAGCTTTAGTGTTTTTCATTTTGCTTTTTCCTTTTGTTTGAGAATGACAATTGAACCTAAATCCATGGGCATCCAACCTAATATGACCTGATCAATGCGAGTTGAGCCTCCTCAAACCTCAATCAGTCCAAAAATTCATAAAGGATAACTCGATGACCTCAAACCCAAAAAACCCCCAAAAGAGTACGACTATGTTTGGCCCGAATTTTAGACGTTTTAAATTTCTAAATTTGTAAGCAAGCCAAGCAGCTCTGAAGTTTTACATTTTAAAAAACAGAAGTTTTTCGTAATTTAAAAGCAAAAGCTCCAATTTGAAAATACAAAATTATCATATTACCATATATTATTCTTTTTCTATAAAATATAATTTTCTTTCATTTATATCATTATAAAAATACATTAAAATATAGTATTATTTAATATCAAATGAATTTAACGTGATCCATTTTAAATATTTTTTATTTTTAGAATTTGTATTCATATTTTATGTTAGAAATACTTTTTATTTATTTTTCATTACCTCTTGTAGTAGAAATTAATTATGATAGTTTTTCAGCTAAACTCTCAACAATTTTTTTTAATTACTTCTTGAAAAGATCCAGTGAAACTACTTCAGTATGCAAAAGTTACAACAGTATCCACTACTGGGCATACAAATTCAAACATTAGCGTCATGAAAAAAGTTTCAACATAAATAATCTATTCGACGACCCTTCTAGCTTATGCAAGTTCATCGACCATATGCTATTGTAAATAACAAACCTATGAAAAGAATGATTAAGAATGAAATAAGATTACTTTTACTTTTGAGTCAACATTAATATTATTACTCTTTAATATTTATTTTTTTCTGATATGCGAAGGGATAGCGAGCGGCCTTTTGCTAGTTGGGTAAATTTCAAAGATCAGTTAGATTACTAAAAAATCATCTTTACTATTAAAATTATTTTATTTCATCCGTGCTCACTAAATTAGTTTAATAATCCAAATTTGATTACTGGTTGTTAATCTTCCCCAGCTTCCGTTAACACTGTCAGGTTTTTGCTGATTTTGGCTAACAGAAATGCTGAGTCATCTAACCTTAACCCAAAAAAATTTAAACCTTTCCTTCTGTTTCTTCTTCTTCACCTCACCAACAACCCTCGCGGCCACATAGCGATCCTCCAACCCTCCTCTGCATTCTACCCCTCTCCTCCATCCCATGCATTCTCCTAGCTCCTCCCCCCCCCCCTCCCCCTTAAAACCACCCATTCCTCCACCTCTTAAAACCACCCGCTCCCCCGCCCCTCAAAACCTCCATGCATTCCCCTCAACTCCTCCACCCCTCATTTGCCCAGCTCCTTCACCCCTCAACCGTCCCCCTATCCCTCAAAACCCTCTGCTTTCTCCCCCGCTCCCCACCCCTCAAAATCCCTTCTTTTTCTTAATTCAAGGATGATTGCACCACATCATCGTTACCTCAAGTCCGAATGCTTCCCACGAGGAGCGAATTCTGATTTCCCTCCTTGCTTCGTCGAAACTAGAACGGTCGATGAAGAAGAGGCAGCTGATCCGGTCATGACTCTAGAGAGAGTAGCAGTAGAAGCAACATGCCAACGATTAGATGGACGCAGTCTGGCACTTGAGGAGGAGGAATAGGGCAACAAAGATGCATTAGGCTAGCCGATGATTATAAATTGGTTTACTCACGAGGCAGTCACAACCACGATCTAACCATCTGGGATCTACTGAGTTTGTGGATTTCCCAAAAAAAAAAACAGAAAGTGAGAAGTATGTACTAGAAATAAAGGGGATAAAATGGAGAGGGAAGAAACAAGGATTGTTCTCTGGCGGGGTATCGACGGTGTTTTCCGGCAATCAAATGAGTATTTTGTGTTTGTTTGCGTTTTGTTAGCGTATCTGTGTTGGCGACGAAGAAATGAGGGTTGGTTAGGATGGTTGGGTCAGTTAATTGGTGGGTATGGTTAGGTCGTGTAAGTTAATGGGATAATATGACGGGTTTGCTGAGGTGGCAGGTCGGATTTTTAATTTTTTTGATTAAATTTGGTGACTCAGCATTTCTATTAGCCACGTAAGCAAAAAAAGAACGATGTTAACGGAATTTGACCGAGAAAATGGCTAGTGATCAAGCTTGGATTATTGAACTAATGGAATAAAATGATTTGAGTGGCAAACGTGAATTTTTTTTGTAATCCCAATGACCAAATTTGCAATTTACCCCTAGAACATTCGACTCTTTGCTCCTTTGATCCTCTTTAGTTTGAAATTTATGGGTGGTTTGGAATTTGGATTGTGTAATTTTGGTTAGTGTGTCAAAACAAAATCCGACTATAGTAACTCGCTTGGTCAATACTATTGTTAACCGACCATAATCCAAATGAACGAAAAGTCAATGACATGCAACTCATCTTACTTTTGTCCCGATTAACCCACAATCCAATTAAACACATAACCCGATTGACCAAAACCCGAATAACTCGTGATTCTATTGACTCAATATGAATCCACTTGATTGACCTGGATAATTATTATATTATATAATAGAGTAAATACTATTTATTAGCTAAACCTTTCATGCATTCTATATATTTGTCAAACTTTTTGAAATATAAAAAACTAGCCAAACCTTCTATAGGATTACAAAATAACAACCATATTCTGTCAGAATCAATTAATTCTAGTGGTATGTTGGATGAACTTACAGGTAAACCGAGACATCAACGCCAACTCAATTAAAAAAGGATAAAAGCAATTTATTAGCCAAACCTTTCAAATTATTTGAAAATCTTTCAAAATACAAAATATTAGCCAAATGTTAGCTTTCTGTTAGCATTTTTGTTAGTAATATTTACTTGGTAATATGATACTCACGTGGAAGAGTACATGGCGGTCAACATTCCAAACTCTTAATATTTTAACTAAGAACAGAGTTACAAAATTATCAACAATAACAGAGAAATGGCTAATATTTTAGAAAGTTTGATAGGTTTGGCTAATAATTTGGAAAAGTTGAAGGTTTGGCTAATAAATTATCAACTGTAACAAACAACTGCCCAAAATCCTATTTTCTCACTAAAGGGCGGCTCTCCTTCGTAATTGCAGCAAATGGGGTATTTATAGGATAGTTGCTGCATGTCATAGCCTCCTAGGCATGACTAGATGGATTTTACAACATCTAGGCCGTGACACTCTAAGAAACGTTAACTTGCCAATTTTTACGGCGTAGGTCAGAGTAATGACCTTGGTCGTGATGTGCAAAACACCACTAAAACGTCAAAAAATCCATATCTTGACTTTGTTCTCGAGCACCAACATGGCGGTCTTTAACTTGAGCTCATGCTCGTGATTTTTCCGTTGATGTGGTGAAGAAGGAGATGAAGCCTCCTAATTTGGGAACAACTTAGGGAAGTGGCATGAGTGGGGCCCTGGAGCTGTATGAATATGGGTCTAACATGGAGAACCCAGATATGGGTAATCGGAAGAAAATCTTTCTTGAGGTGGAGGGAGAGCAGAAGGACGGCGAACCCACAACAATAGGCAATTGCAGAGGAGGAAGAAGATGCTGGAATGGTGGAGATAGCCAGCGATAAGTGGCCCCATGAGAATAGATGAGGCTTCTGTCCGGGAATTTGATAGGAATTGGACCGACCCTCACATTCCAAACTTCTTTAAGTTTACATTATTCGAATAAAACAAAACTTGTCTTCCTTTCGGAAACAAGATCAAATCGGAGAGTAGTTTACGACAGGATGCGAGGTTTAGGTTTTGATATTTCCATTGTTTTTTTGTTGGCGCATTTAATCTGTCTGGTGGTCTTGTAGTAGCCTAGTCCCTAGGAGTGGATGATTCTTCGTTTTGTCATTCTATTTTTTACATTATTGTTCATATTAATGAAAATAATGTTACTTAAGTGGTTGTGTGTGTACATTAGTTGTGATGAGACAAAGCATTCTGATCAACGAACACTTGCGAAATTTATGTGAAGAAATCCAATTGTCATATGTGATAATCGGTGATTTCAATACAATTTTAAACAAGGGAGAGAAAGATGGGGGAAATTCTTGGAACCCTGCCAGAGCAATGGCCCTTAGGTATTTTGTGCATGGCATTGGCCTCCATAACGCGGGATACCAAGGAGACAAATTTACTTGGACCAATAAAAGGATGGGATAGTCATGAATCATTGAGAGGTTGGATCGGGCTCTCTGATCCCAGTCTTGGATAGGCCGGTTCCCCGACACATTGGTTAAACATTTCACGAATCAGGGTTTAGACCACCATGCCATGTTACTTGCGGACAAACCTTTCACGCGCAATAGCTGCATGTTATTTCTATTTGACACACGTTGGGCCGACAACCCAGAAGTTAGGGTGATGGTGACTTATGTATGGAATGAAGATGTCCACAAATCACCCATGTACAGGCTTTGGGTGCTTTTGAAATGCCTACGCCACCTCCTGTAGATTGGAGCATGGAGGGTACAACGAATTCCTTGAGAAATATCAGAACCCTCTAGGCGTAGATATATCGGGTCAAACAGGTCAATCCTATAAACTAGGATGCGGTGCAGGACCTGGAGCCTGATCTTAGTCGACAATGGGAGGCGGACGAAGTGTACGGGTAACAAAAATTCAGGGTCTGGTGGCTAAAGAAAGGTGATAGGAATACTTCCTATTTCCACATTACCTGAAAATTAAAACAAAGGGTATATGGCGCTGAAGGTCGATGTGGAGAAGTCCTATGACAGAGTCGAATGACCCTTTTTGCTCACAATTTTGGAAAAATGGGTTGTCATCACATTTGGATACGATAGATTCAGGAGTGCTTAAGCTCGAGGTCTTTATCAATCCTTATGAATGACACACCATATGGGTTTTTCAAGCAAACTAAGCAGACAACGAGTAAAGTTAGATAAATCTGTCGTTTGCTTTAGTAAGAATATATCACAAGTTCACAACCGGACCAAGATTTCCTTGCCCAGTTACTAGGTGTGGGAGTAATAGGGGTGCAAGATAAATATTTGGAGTTGCCCACCATAATCGCGCAATCTATATTTGCTACCTTCCGATATTTGGAGGAGAAGTTACTGCAGCGACTGCAAGGTTGGTTGCAAAAGAAGTCGTCGCGGGCAGCAAAGGAGACACTAATTAAATCAGTCACATCTTCATCACCCTTCATGTGATGTTTTGCTTTAAACTTCCGCTCTCTCTCTCTTTGTCGAATTTTGGACAAGCATGTAGCCAGTAACTGGTGGGGGGTTGTGGGTGGGCGCTCTGATATTCACTAGATTTCTTGGAGAAATATGTGCCAAAGCAAGCATGAGGGGGAATGGGGTTTCGTAGATTTGACATTTTAATCAAGCGTTGTTGGCTTAATAAGACAGAGGATCCTTAACGAATCCCAATCTCTGTTGGACCAAATCTATAAGAGAAAGTATCTCCCTACGGGTCAATTCCTAACTGCCACTGTGTGCTCTCGACCGCCATGGGGATGGCAGAGTGTCTTGTATGGTCGCCAGCTACTTAAACAAGGGTTGCACTGGAAAATTGGAAATGGACATAAAGCATCGATCCAGAAGTCAGGATCGGTTCCTAGGTTGCATCCTCATGCTCCCCCTTGCAACCCCCAGGCTATACAGGAAGGAAGTGATCATAAGGTAACAGAGGTTATGATACATGGGAGGAGGGCAATGGTGCGCCAAATGACTCGCTTTGTTTTCCCGCCATACATCGGGAAGCTAAAGCAATCCCGTTACTCTATCTAGATATTGAGGATTCTCTGATTTGGCACAAGACATGTGATGGGGTATTCCCGGTCAAATCTTCTTATCACTTAGCAGTGGTAACAGATTAGCAATGAGGGTTTTAGCGCCAGACAGTCAGTTGGATGGATAGAGCAAGTTGGATACGGATGAGGGAGCTCCCGATCCTGGCCAAGTTAAAAATATTTCTCTGGAAAATTTACTAGTGTATCCTCCCCGACTGCGGAACCTTTAATTGAGAAGGAGGTCCAAGTGTTGCCACAATATCAAGTGTGCTGGGCTGAGTTGGAGACGATGGAGCACATTTTTCTTATGCCCAGTTGCACAGGTCTTGTGGGAACACACTGTCTTAAGATATTTAGGCCCAGGCATTCCGCGAAAAACCTTCTTGTCGTTCCTAAAACGGTTAATGGGGAAAATAGACTAGCATCAACAAAGTATGAAGGTAGTCGCTCTATTTTGGTGTATCTGGTTGTTGAGAAATTAACTTATCTTTGAGAGCAAACAATTCCCAGTACCTACTTTACTATGGCAGCACCATTAACAAGTTCAGGAATGAAATGGATTGCCTATGGACAGAATAGCCCATATCCAAATTCTTATAGTGGGTAGTACCACGTGGGGTGCCCCATCCATGTTCACTTGCATGTGGGATGGAGTGGTTAAAGTTGGGTCTCATTCGGCAGGTGGAATGATCCTCCAAGACCATGAAGGAAACATTGTCTTGGTTAGGGGGGTATCCTTTGTGAATATTGATGAGCCCACTCTAGCCGAGGCACTGGTTCTTCGGGAGGCTATTTAGTGGTGTCTCGATCTGGGCCTTTCTTAGGTTCAGTTTAAAGGGGATGCTAAGATAATCATTGACATGATAAATAT